CGAAAGTAAGCTTTAAATCCAGTCAACAAGGCATAGAGCGACTGGCTGCACACCTTCCACCTCGCTCTTTCTTGTACAAGTGAGCAGCAGCTCCAACTACAGCTCATTTTATAGTGCAGGGTTTGAATTATTGCCTATGCTATTTGTGAAGGCCCCCCACCCCTACCCCCCTTACGGAATCTTTCCTGAACGCCAAAATCAACGTACAGAGATAATTCTGGTACCGTTCGATGCGGCAGAAAGTAAGCTTTAAGTTGAATCTAAGCACCGGATAATGCCATAATTCGCCGGTTTACGTCAGACTCTCCCCTTTAGTGTGCACGGCGTCGTATTTTTCGCCTATGTAATTACTGAAGGGGCCCCGACACCTCCGCCTTTTGGGGAGCTGTCACGAACGCATAAATCAACGTACAGAGATGCTTCTAGTACCGTTCGATGCGTCAGAAAGTAAGCTTTAAGATGAACACAAAAACCGGATAATGCCAAGATTGACCATTTTTGGGTAGACGGTCCCCTTAACCTCTACTGGGGCCTAGATTTTCTTTCCACATGAAGTTTTGGGCCCGCTGAACCCATTGCATATTGAAACTTTCCCACACCTCTGATGTGATGTTATAAACAAGACATACATCACATTCTTACCCATATACATTCTTCCTCGCCTCGCTTTGAGGGAAGCCGATCACCCTGCATAAAATTAGTTATTTATATCAATTAGGTCGCCCGACATTCAATACTTCCTTGATTTATCGCAGGCTGCACCGGCGACAACTTCGTGTGTGGCGACGGCAGATGCATCCACAAGCGTAATGAATGCGACGGCAGCAACAACTGCGGGGACTGGAGTGATGAGAAGCATTGTGAGTACACGGCTGATGTGTTGAGTCAGTAAGTGTGTGTGTCATCACATCATGAGTAGGTTAGGTTAGGTTAGGTTAGGTTAGATAGCGTCAAAACAACCGACAATCCTTGAAAGGAAATACATACAATAAGTTAATAATCATAAATTCACTGTCAAACATTAGACCCTAAAAAAGACTTAACAAAAGACATCGAACTGACGATGGAGTTAGACTGAGAAACGTTTTATTTTATAAAGATATGGTGAATTTTTGTGTCATCTTACAAGCATTCTCATGATCTTAGTCCAAAATACTTGCACTAGGCTCCCCACCTCCACCCCTGTATCCACAACCACCAGCCCCACATACCCTACGCTACGGAATACCTGCACCACGAGCAATACTTAACGAAAAATTGAAAGTTCGTAAGTCCGTCAGCCATCATGTGACGGATCCCTGACGACCCTTTAAGCTAAACCCACCAATCGCAGACCAGAAATCGTCCGCTCGATTTCCCAGCATCACCATCCGTCATCGTCGTCGTCATCACCTTCCCTCATCATCATAAATTCTATTTTTAATATAAAAATAATATACGTTTAAAAGTTACTTTTTATAGACAACACTTCTAAGGAATCCAGTGTTTCCAATGTTACAGATGTACAATGAATTTCTTATTTTATTTTCGAATATTAAAAAATTTTAATTTGCCAATTTTTTTCATATATATAATTTTTTTTAAATTATTTATTCTGTCAATAGATTCATGCATTGCCTCCAACTTCATACAAGTGTGCAAAATTTCAGATAAATTGGACAGGTAAAAGTGTGTCAAATATCAATTATAAGATTTGTAGCTGACAAAATTATTTTTTCATTGTTTTTAATATTGAAAAAAAATTTTATTCCAAAAATTATTTATTTTGTCATTCGATTCATGCATTGTCTCCAGCTTTATGCAAGTGTGCAAAATTTCAGATCGATAGGATAAGTAGAAGTGTGTTAAATTTTGATTATAAGATTTGTAGCAGACTGACAAACAAGAAGTGAAGTTAAAGAGAAGTGTTGTAAAAAGGCCTGTGAATATTGACCTAATCATCTTAATTGTTTTAATACCTACACCCAACCCCACACACCTACCGCCAACCAACACGCGCCGCTAGTGACGGTTGACCACATCACTAGTGACCACTGCTATTGACACTTGCTCTTATGTCAGACACTAGTTGAGGAGGTCCACTAGTTGAGGAAATCCACTAGTTCTACAATTCTCACTATTCCACTCCATGTACGGTGCACTTACTGTTGCTAATTGTACTAGTGTCACTAGCCTCAACTAGTGGCACTACCTCTACTGGAACTAGCAACAATGATTGTCGATTACACTAGTGTCACTACCACTAGTGTCATTACCATAAGTGTCGCTACCATAAGTGTCACTACCATTAGTGTCACTACCACTAGTGTCACTACCACTAGTGTCACTGTCACTAGTGTCACTATCACTAGTATCACTACCAATAGTGTCACTACCACTAGTGACTTTACCACTAGTTTCACTACCACTAGTGTCACTACCACTAGTATCACTACCACTAGTGTCACTACCGCTAGTGTCACTACCGCTAGTGTCACTACCAGGTACCGTTGGATAGGGCAGAATGTCAGCTTTAAAATGAGTATAAAAACCGAAAAAGTGGAAATTTTTAATTTTAGAGTAGACGCTCCCCTTAACATTCAATTATTTTCTCGAATTATAAAATAATTGAATATAATTATTCCTCGGCTGCATTCAACTATAACGTTTCACAGCAACAACATGTTGTGTCACTATATACGTATCGGAGGTCACTTATTGTGTCAATAGTTACGACGCAATCTTATATATCAATCAATCGTAATCAATAAAACATTGAATATAATTCAATGATGTGTATTCAATGATGTCACCCCTCTCTGAATCTTTCCTTCGTGGGCCACCACTTTCTGGATCGCCAACATTCAATTATTTCTTGGATATAAATGAATTATTCCTCGACTGCATTCAATTATAACGCTTCGCTATCGAATTATTTTCAATGTTTCGCAAGCATGCAATGACTAAAGTCGAGTTGTCGAGTTAAACCTCTTCTGAGGCCAGGATTTTCTTTACACATGAAGTTTTGGGCCCTCTGAACCCATTGCATATTGATACTTCCTCCACTTCTAATGCGATGTTATAAGCAACACATACATCACATTCTTACCCCCTATACATTCTTCCTCGCCTCGCGTTCAGGAAATCCGATCACCCTGCATAAAATTAGTTATTCATATTAATTAGTTAGCCCGACATTCAAGACTTAAGTCGAGACTAAAGTCGAGTTGTCGAGTTTAACCTCTTCTGGGGCTTGGATTTTCTTTCCACAGGAAGTTTTGGGCCCGCTGAATCCATTGCATAAAAATACTTTTCCACCATTTATGATGCTATGGAATAAACAACACATACATCAAATTCTTACCTCAAAACATTCTTCCTAGCCTCGCGTTAGGAAACCCCATAACCCTGTATAAAAGTAGTAATTTATATTAATTAGTTATACCGACATTCAAGGCTTCTTTGATTTATCGCAGGCTGCACCGGCGACCATTTCGTATGCGGCAACGGCAGATGCATCCACAAGCGTCATGAATGCGACGGCTGGAGCAACGACTGCGGGGACTGGAGTGATGAGAAGCATTGTGAGTACACGGCTGATGTCACTAGTGTCATTACCACTAATGTCACTACCACTAGTGTCACTGCCACTAGTGTCACTACCACTAGTGTCACCAGCACCTTGTCTGACTGTGTCTCTCTGTCACCGCCCCCCTGGACCGCCAGCTCAGGGACGGCCTCTGGTCACTGGACGTTGTATGTCCACTGGCCGCCACTAGTGGCCACTGGTAGCTGTTAGGAGCGTATCCTGGTGGGTGGCCACTTGTAGCGCATTAGTAGCGTATCTTGGCCGCCACTAAAACGTCCCTAGTAGCGTATCCTGGTGACCACTAGTGTTACATGGCCCGAATAGTGGCCACTAGTAGCGCATGTTTCTACTGGTAGCCACTAGTTCGTCCAGGGTCCTTCTGGTGGCCACTAGTGGTGCATGACTTTACTGGTGGCCGCTAGGAGCGCATGTCCTTAACTAATGGCCACTAGTGGTACATGTCCTTCCTGGTGGCCACTAGTAGAGTAAGGCCCTTCTGGTGGCCACTAGTAGAGTAAGGCCCTTCTGGTGGCCACTAGTAGCGTATCCTGGTGGCTGATGGTGGCGCATGACCCTCCTGGTGGCCACTAGATGCTCTCACTAGTAGCGCACTAGCCTGATGGCCTCTAGAAATATCTAGTTTTCTAGTAGTGACAGCTTGCCACTAGTAGTAACTGCTTGCCACTAGTAATGACTGCTTGCAGTAGTAGTGACTGCATGCCACTAGTAGTGACTGCTTGCCACACTGGTAGTGACTGCTTGCCACTAGTAATGGCTGCTCGTCATTAGTAGTGACTCCTTGCCAGTAGTAGCTCGATGTGCAGGTATTGCCTGGTTACCACAAGGTGCTCTATAGTTGTCCTCTAGTTGCCACTAGTGGTTTCTCTCCCTCCTATAGTTGCCACCTTGAGCTGACACTAATGGCTAACACTAGTGGCTGCCGGCACTTGTGCTTCTGTTAGCCTTTGTTGTTGCCACTAGTGACTTACACTGAACTGCCTCCCTAGCTATTGCTTTGCTAGTGTGTCACTAGTGACCTCACTAGTGCATGTATGCCACACGCTACATCTCTGACCTCCACTAGTTGACTCCCACTAGTTCACCACACTCACGCTCACTACACTCACGCTCACTACACTCACGCTCACCACACTCACGCTCACCACACTCATGCTCACCACACTCTCACGCTCATCTTACTCACGCTCACCACACTCTCACGCTCACCAAACAGCTCACCAAACACTCACGCTCAATTACTTTATGACGACAAAAAATGAATACACACATTAGAATTATTTTAATTAGGATCTGAAAATTCTTCACCGCATTACTTGTGATTGCAGGCGCGTGCCGCGCTGATCAGTTCAAGTGCGCCAACACCGGCGAATGCATAGGCGAGACGTGGCGGTGCGACGGACGCAGCGACGACTGTGGCGACCGCAGCGACGAGCGCGACTGTGAGTTGCCTGATGAGTCAAACGCTTCCGCGCAATTCTACTGTCTTTTATTTCGAGTTAATATGAGGATCTGTTTCTGCTCTTAAAACTTATTGTGTCACTAATTAGGTCATGGAGGTCACTTATGTGTCAATATTTACGCCGCAATCAATTATATCAATCAATTGTATTCACTAAAACATAATTAAATATAAATTAATGATATGTATTCAATGATGCCACCCCTCCCTGGCCCTCCCCGCCCTTGATCGCCCCTCCCTGAGCCACCCTCCCCGTATCACTCCTTCGTGGGCCACCACTTTCTGGCTCACCAACATTCAATTATTTTCTTGAATATAAATGAATTATTCCTCGGCTGCATTCAATTATAAAGTTTCACTAACGAATTATTTGCAATGTTTCGCAAGCATGCTATAACTAAAGTCGAGTTGTCGAGTTTAACCTCTTCTGGGGCCTGGATTTTCTTTCCACAGGAAGTTTTGGGCCCGCTGAACCCATCGCATATTGAAACTTTCCCACACCTCTGATGCGATGTTGTAAGCAAGACATACATCACATTCTTACCCCCTACACATTCTTCCTCGCCTCGCGTTCAGGGAAGCCGATCACCCTGCATAAAATTAGTTATTTATATTAATTAGTTATCCCGACATTCACGGCTTCTTTGATTTATCGCAGGCTGCACCGGCGACCATTTCGTATGTGGCGACGGCAGATGCATCCACAAGCGTAATGAATGCGACGGCAGGAACAACTGCGGGGACTGGAGTGATGAGAAGCATTGTGAGTACACGGCTGATGTAATGAGTCAGTAAGTGTGTGTCATTACATCATGCGTCGGCGTAGGTGTTAAATCAATATTATGGCTAAGTGTGTGTAGTGATCTTGCGTGCCTAGGTTCAAATAAAATTAGCTTTAAGAAACATTTATATTAATTAGCTGACAGAGTCGCAAAAACATATAAATATTAGATTAAAGTTAACAAGTGACACATATTGTGTCACTTGTTAAGTCACGGAGGTCACTTAACGCGTCACTAGCTACGCCGTAACTAGTGTTATCTATCATGAGTCACACTAGTGTCATGACATCATGTATTGGCGTAGGTATTAAATTAATATGATGGCAACGTGGGTCCATGAGTCTTTTATCACGAGTCACAGGGAGAAGCCTTTCAAAAACTCACATTACAAATTTGACTCACATGCGTGTTATTCTGCATGTCATAACCCTATGGTGAGTAAGTGTAAGTTAAATTTCGTTCAATAGGTTTAAATAATTATCATTGCCTTAGGAAATGATTACAATTGAAAATAATCATAATCTGCGCCAATGTGGAGTTGGGATGCGGCTTCTTGATCAATTGATCTTCAGCTTCCTTCTTTGCCCAGAACATGAAAAAAATTGATAAAAGTATTCTGAATAATTGAATTAATTTTATGGTATTTAAAATTCATATTGCACGCAAGCGCCAACCCGGTGAGAATACCAGAACCCAACATAGGCATAGAGGGAGGGGGGGAGGAGCCGGTGAGAGCCAGGAGGGGTAGGGTCGCTCAGTGCCCGGGGTGCAACAGGGTGCTGTCGGTCGCCATGATGGCGAGGCACCAGAGGGCGTGCCTGGTGTGGGACCCTGGGGGGGCAAGTCCCTGACGGGGATCGACGGCCCGGAAAAGAATGGAAATGGAATGGTTGATGATTAAAATCAGTCTCACCATCGGTAAGAATCACCACCTGAATATCGATCGGCCGTAGTTGTCGTTCAAGTATTCTGACCAGAATTTCGGTCCTTCCGTTTCGTAATTTAAAAATAGATTCGAGTTCATAATTGTGCGTTTAAAGACTGCATTTGATAGAAAACAATCTATACTAAAGCCTGGCAAAATTATCGCGGCGTATGTTAAGTGGAATGCACCTAAAAAGTACTTTAAAAAATTAAGGGCAGAAATCGTTGCACTTGCACCCGTGGTTCTAGCGTGACGCTTCAACCCGTTACGAATAGGATTATTGAAGCAGAACAGTTACTTTGTGACCACAAAAAAGGAATACACACATTATAATTTTTTTAATTAGGATCTGAAAATTCTTTACCGCATTACTTGTGATTGCAGGCGTGTGCCGCTCTGATCAATTCAAGTGCGCCAACACCGGCGAATGCATACGCGAGGCTTATCGGTGCGACGGAGACAACGACTGTGGCGACCGCAGCGACGAGCGCGACTGTGCTAACCGGCCACGTGAGTAACTCTACTGACAATCCGACTGACTAACTTCCCTCCCAACTCTACTCGCATTTATACGCACTTCCACCATTAACCTAATGTCGTATACATGTATATATACATGTGGAAGTACTGTATAAGGATATACAAAAAGTATATATGTGCCGAAAGTAATGCTTATGAGTTTCCACTGCAGACCGTGCTTGCGTGACCGTGACTTCTGGAGAACCTCTCTGGCGCGCAATTTAGCTCATTTTTATTGGTAGCACAGCACACAGTTTGCCCCAAGCCTCGAAGTGTCACCGAATTCAACACAACAAACAAACTTTCTCAAAACGTATCCCCTAATTTTCCACAAAATTCTTTGCTTAAGTTATTTAGTAATTGCCCCGCAAATTACGTTCTAAACGTGTTTGCTTGCTGTTATCTGGGATCTACAACCGTATGATTGCTTGCTGTTATCTGGGATCTACAACCGTATGATATAAAGTTTTATGCTAAGACTGTTCCTTTGTTTGTGTAAGTGTAGTGAGTGTTGTTAACGAACATTTCAGACTGTTTACACCTGTGATGTGAATGATTTGAAATTATTTGTGTTAGTTCTGATGGGTCATTTATGTTAAATTTAATTGTCAATCAGCATCTGTTGGGTGGCATGTTGTATATGCTTTGCTCCTTATTTATGTGGGTGTCGTCTGACTGGTATTTAAGTCCTGTCGTCTGACAATGTTATCTATGTTCTGTGTTCGGAAGTGGTGTTTCGATTCGACAATGCACAACTTTAAATGATTGATTAATTCTGACCATTCTATGGTCAGTAGTATCGACTACATTCACTTGACCATAATTAGATGTTAGTTCTTGTTTATTTACTTATTTGCTATATTATTCCTTTTATAGATACATTTGTTGAATAATTAAGCAAGCAAAACGTAACGTCACAATTGAATAAAAAATCTCCATCAGATGATGTCGGCAGTCTCTGTCATAGGCATGCGCCGAGTCGACCGCTTCGTGCTTGCGCATGACTGCAGTTTGATCGCTTAAATACAATCAAGTTTTCAAAAGGAATTATTTTCAGGAATAATTTTTTATGACAGTTGAATATGAACACGAGGAAATCATATCACTTGTATAATTAATACCGATCCAATGACTGCTTCTGTTCACTGGCCTTCACTGTCATTGTCATTGAGATTATGGCTCATATCAAACTTTCGATTCACCAGACTCAGTATTATTTTTGATGTATTAAATGAAGGGTTTGAAAATTGGAAAGTGTAGCAGAAACAAAAAAATATTGTAAACTTGAATAAATACGGAAATAGTTTCAATAAAAGTGAGTTTAGGATGCTTCATGCCCTCACAGCCTCGCTCATGAGAACTGTAGCCCTGAGCAATGCCTTACAGGCCAGCAGAGCCTACATACGCTCACACGTATATCAAATATTCTAGTTTTCCATTACAGAGCAAGAGAAGTGAGCTATTAATTCTGTTTAGAACCTACTATATAATATCATGATATTTAATGTAGTTCCTCAGGAAATAATTGTTTTTTCTTACATAAGGATATTCGAAATACTAGACTCAGTCCATAATGATAGTGTGTTTATCGTCGTGTTGTCATAAGAGTAATCACTTGGCTAAAGACCCAAAAATTTTCCCATTAGTATATACTTGCGCCTCCGGATTAATTTCCGAATTCATTTACACGGTAACTTTCCTTTGGTTTATAATGGCGCCTCCTGAAATTGCTCTGGCCTAAGAACGTCAGTGCGGTGGATATTCCCGCGTTTCCCCGGTGCCAACGCCACATTAACTGCAATTTTACCCCCGGCAGCCNTTCATGTAATTTCTTCATTAGTATCTTCCTTGTTAGAAGATAATTTCTTTTATCGCTATGTTCATGAACATATCCTTGGGTTAGTCTTCCCTTTTCCAACCCGGTAGTGACTTATCGCCTTGGCGACGTCAAATAGCAAGTCTTTATAACCTCAGTCTGAACCGAGAACGATTGCGTATACGTTCAACTCATGTGTATACTCAGCTCTATAATCTGTAAGCCACTATAATACTCACTCTACAAATAAGCACTTTATCAATAATTGCCTCGTGCCTCATTTATCCTCGTAATCACTGTCACCGGTTCAACCTCAGGTGTTACTTAATTATATTTAATACGTATAAAGGTGCATTGAAAAGAACACCTTACAGTTGATGATGAAGTAACCATTGAAGATGAAGGCGCCGCTTTCCAAAAAAACCCCACTGCATATAACTGAAATTTCTAAATAGCCGCTATTACATATACATATTTCTTATCTTTCTAAATGCACACATAACTTCTTCACTAAATAAGTATCCCGTATGAACTATGAGGTAAACCGCTTGGATCAGAGTGTAGCAGTATGCTATTATTTACTCAAAGTTCCCAACTTCTTTTGCGTCAGGAAGGTAAGCATTTTCATAACAAAACATACTAACTATATGACCACCGTCACTATTGATACATAACTTCAAGACTGTTTCATTACGTTTTAAAGATCTTAGCGTATTTTACACGATACGCTAACACAGGTAAAGCGAAATTTATGAACCATAACAATTCTTTCAATATACGCTTTGTTTAGCTAGCGTCATACGCAGCGCCCGTGCGAAATATTTTCGAATATATAACAAGCTAAAAATTTACATAAAGTACACTTCCATTTGAGAACTATGGAAGCTTCATTGAAAAGTTGCACGCGAACAACATTTCAACGCTAAGATGTATGCGAAGTTTTTAATATGCTCAATATTGCGAACGGATTATTGCGAGACTATATTATTCCCGTAGCGATAATCTTATAGTATCCTCAGCCATGTCGAGTAACTGAGGTTAGAAATATCACATAACATCTGAGATAGGGAGACAACCTTGCGTTTTATAAATCAAACCCTAATAATAAAATAGTTTGCATTTATTCGCTGACTTAGTTATTCAACTGAAAATCAAATCAAATTGAAAACAACAGTTAGCCATGCGCAAGGTATGAACGATTACAACTCCAATTATCAGTCCTGCATGCAGACTTCTTACGCTTTAGAATGAATCAAATATTGAGTTATGAGTAAAGTTTTCACAAGCAACTTCTTCGTAGCACGACAAGCAATGTTTGGACCGTCTACCACGACAAGCTTCAAGACGGCGGCCAAACAAAACTCCTCCGCAGCCTGCGTTCACAGCAAGGTAATGTCGCCCAGCTGAGTCGATATTTCCTGCTCTTGTGATTCATAAGGCAGCAACCACAGCAACCGTCGTGCCTATGAGACTAAACATCTTATCCAATGAAAACAAATAAAACTGAACTCTTAACATTTCTTCTAGTGATTCAGCTCGTGCGGGAAAATTGCTCGTGCCTTCCATTCATCCTTCATTAAATTTACTGTCGTCTGGTATTACCGCTGTACCCGGAGGCCTCATAACATCAGTAATTTTTATAACCGCCGTCCACAAATTGCTTACATGCCTCGAACTCCTTCAAATAGATAAATCATTTATACGAGAAAAATCCCAAAGATCGACAGATTCTGATTATTCAATATCGCGACCAATCAAAATCCTGATTCCTCTGGTTCCTCATTGAACCGCAGTCCAGATGGTAAGGTATAGTCGCGTATCAAATATTCTTTCTTTTGCGTATATTCTTTCTATTTCCTACCTTGTGTAGCGGGCCAGATATTGGCCTCGTTTTGTGTTCTAGGTTTCGAGCTGCCGCACTCCTCGAAAGTAGACTGAAGAGAAAGATATAAAAGCCGAAGTGTCTTCGGGAGTAGTCTGATTATAGCCGTGAGCCACTACATCTTTACTATTATTGCGTCCATATAACATAACATATAACATAGTGATCTCGGCGCTGAAGTGTAGGCCTGATGTGGCCTGTCGCCGATTCTTTTCCTTTTAGCGCAACTCGTGAATAATTTATAAAGACTGTAAATGCAAATTTATATCAAATAGGATATCTTTGTAAAAGTAAAGACTACCAGCAATCAAGGATGTGTATTAAAAAATTCTTCCTTTATTTAATGCTAAGCATTTGCACGCTTTGAGAGCTTGTGTTTCAACGTTTCCAAAATACCGCCCCTACCAGAGATTTTATTAGGGTGGATACAATCGCTAGCCCATTTGTGGACATTGGCTTCCATTAACTCCTCGTGAATAAAGCAAGTAATAACATTAGATAGCCTTAACAAAGACTTTTAATTCATTCGTTGAATTTACGTCGTTCAACTTCAAAGGAATCTTTCGATAGCTTTCGGGTTCTTAATTAAGTGTGGCTATATTAGCGCTAGCGCAACTCTTTTGAAGATTCCAGCAGATTCTATAGGTCACATGCAAGTTGGAAAATAACCTCCGCTACATTCTTTCCCTTCTTTTCCGGATCACAAGTATCGTTAGTGCCAATATATTGACCAATATCAAGAAAGAAAAATCACGAGTGGTCAAGAAATCAATAATAGCGTTAAAATCCTTTAATTTATCAATAAATGTAGTCAACTCTTGAGCAATTGACCCT